ATTATTTGTTTTTTAAGCTCTTTAAAATGGCCTGGAGAAAAATTGATAAATTTTGTGTTTTAAGGGTAAAAAATGAGAAACCCCCATTTTCACCCCATAAGAGAAGTATAATTTTTACTCCCATTGAGCTTACCAAGTAATTCCTTCATAAACAACTGTTTCCTGTAATCAATATTGAGAGCATAAGCTGGGCAATACGGGAAGTACTCAGCTTGGGTAGTATCCATAGATGTGTAGGTATCGGCAAGTAAGTTGTAAGACACAACTCTGAAACTGAGGAAAAACAATGAGATGGTAAGTACCGTGCTGTGAAATAATATCAGTATTCAGTTAATTTTTAGTTGTTATCTTAAAAAATATATTAATTATTACCAACTGATATGAAGACACCACTTATACTCTGTTTACAAAGTTTAGGCTATTAGATGGGAAGCAATTCCTGCTGGTCTATTTACGTGAAGCTGAAAAAAGTGGTGGGGAAACCCAGGAAATCTTCCCCTTAAAGTGCCTTAATTTTGTGAACGGACTATAGTTACATATCTAGGTAAGCTCCCTGGATAGAGTGTAGACCTACCTAACTTAATGTAAAACAGTTTTAAACCAGCTAGACACACTTTCAAGATGCTGAAGTATTGAAATGCAGTTAGGCCCAAATCAAAATATAGTTTATATTACATACATCTATGTTTCAATCTCGCAATGGGTGGTAAATTTGACCAATAATAACATGATTAGCCCAAGCTCACTATCAAATCTGACAATTGCTGTTCCTATCTTGGAAAAATGCTGGACCCAATTGCCATTAGTGGAAAAGACTTTCAACGATTTAATTTTACCATTCTGTGTTCAGATCTAGGCCTGTTAATTTTTTTAATTTTAAGTAGGCTAAGATATTTTGAATGTGACTTTGCCCATTGCATATATATTTAATGGCAAATAAACTATTCTGATTCTGATTCATTGAGGTATTTAAATTAAGCTTTTAAACAACAAGTAGCCTAGGCCTATGTGGGCCTATTAGATTTTGACAAAACCATGGTTTCAACAGTTCCTTTTACAATTAATAAGCCTAAAAAAATACACTGGCCCTAATTACACAAAATAAAACTTTAAAAGAGAAAATAGGCCTACTAAGCTACCTAACTTACCTTCCATGCGGTGTATTTTTAGAAGTAAATAAGTGACGATTTTCAAATGGACAGTGACCTGGTCCTGCTTCGACAGCTGATGAAGTCTCTCGTTCTAAACAAGGTCCAGCCGTAGTAGAGTTTTTAGGAGTGCATTCCAATTTTAATTTATGTCCTATATCACTGTTGGCCGGTAAATACATGAATCCCTCTCCAACAGTGATCCACTGATCATTTTCATTATTCTTACTGACATTTACAGTAGAGTTTGTATTTTTTTTAACAGACTTCTTCCAAACAAACGATGATAGTGACTTGTCAGTAAACTTGGACTCAAATGAAACAGGATAAACAGGAAATCCCGCCATCGTACTCGAGGGTAGAATCATTGAGTCAATCCAAGGAAAATTAATAGCAACGGAATAATTTATCCCCATAATCCTCAAAGCTAGAACTCCAAATGGGTATTTACTGGAAAAAAATATATCCTTACAGTTAACGTCTTTTGATACTTCAACATCGTTTGCAATCAGTTCTACTACCACTTTCTTTTCAGGTTCTTCATTCCCTTCTTTCTTTTTTAATTTCGATAGCTTTCTTCCAACAACTTTTTGTACATTTGTGGACACTCTGGACAAGAAAGAGTCTACTGTTTCAACCAGTCTTCTTTCAAAATTAAATTGTCTATTAACATTAGGTGCTTCACTAATGAACCAAAAGCTGACTTTAAACGTATCTGCTCCCTCAGAACAATGAAAATATGCCACTTTGGGATTGGGAGTGTTCATCCTTTGGGGGTGGTAAACCGATTTGAAGCAAGCTGCCTTTTGCAACCTTTTAAAAGATTGGAGGAAAATGTTATGATTATATTTCATAAGCTTAAACAGCATATCAGGTCAACAACAAATAAATCATTAAGTCAGTTTTAACTGTAGACAATTATATATTACGCCTTTTCCTTATAAACAGCAGACTGGTACTTTAAAAGTTCACAATAATCAAACTGAACCTTTAGAAAGTTCAGTTCATATATTAACCGTTGTTAGGCCAAGTTAACCCAAAATTTACCTACTCCAACTTAGTTGATGAGTAGGACTTATTACTTCCGGATAATTTATTGAATTACCTTATCAACACTACGAAATAAGTATCAGAATGTTGCTTAGCTAGAAATAAAATGATTCCATTTAATGGTCAGGAGTAAAAATTAAGTATTTCTTTCATAAACACAAGATATAACAGCACAAGAGGGGCAGCACAAACGAAACAACATAAACGAAAATAAAAATAAATAAATAGGTTAGACTAGACAAAAAAGACTGGCACTGACAGAGAGCAGACAGCAGACGCAAACGGAATATGGTCGAGTCTATATGAAGACAGGGAAGAAGACAAGCAGTAATCGAAGCAGGGAACTGAAGCATTGGTTTATGTATATGAAATGTATATTGTTAATTACCTATAGATTAAAACACTTATTTTTTTCTCGTGTCCATGCCAGTGGCATTTCATAATGAAGTTTACAGCAATTCAACGCTTTGAAGGTAAAGTAGTCCAAACCCATCAAGTTTTGTTGATATCACTGTAAGGGAATTTCGATGGTGCGATCCCATCGCAAGTTGTCGTCTAGGACCAAGGTATTTGGTGAACAGAGCTGTTTCAATTTCCGGAGGAGACGACACTTCATTCTTTAACCTTCCAAAGAAAAGTTGTTGTGTTTTGCTCTCGTTAAAAACAAGATCATTGTTGAAACAGTAATCTTTGGCTCTATTGATTGAAATGAAATTTTCAATCTCCAAAGTTTCGGCAGATGAGTTGCTGGTTAACAGTGAGTCGTCAGCAAACATGACAGTATGACTGTGTGCCTCCATCCATGTAGTTAGGAAGATCTGCAGCGAACAATGCGAAAATTATGGGCCCCAGTACTGAACCTTGAGGGACTCCTCTGGCAACATTCATCAGCTCTGATCTGAAAGAGAAGGTTTTGCCATTTTTCGTGGAACTGATTTCAACGACCTGGCGCCTTCCTTTCAGGTAGGACTGAAACCAGTCCTTAGCTGAGTCTCTAATCCCATAGGCTTCAAGTTTCTTGAGGATAAGCTGGTGGTCGAGGCAATCAAACGCCTTACTCAGGTCTAGAAAAGCTCCACTAACAGTCCTTCCGGTTTCCAGATTGTCAATGATGTACTCGACGACCTCGGTGATTGCCGTTATGGTAGATCTTCCAGGTATAAAGCCATGTTGTCCTTTGGGCAGGATTTCGTTGGACTTAAGATGATGCATAAGTCGTGCCAGGACAATTTTTTCTAAATCCTTAGAGATTGTCGAGACAAGCGATATATTGGTCTATAATAATTGCTTATATCTTCCTTGCAGCCTTTTTTGTGAAGGGGGTATACTTTTGCTATTTTCAGCTTGGGTGGAACAGTGGACTGAAATAAGGATTTGTTAATTATGAAAGTGAGAGGCAGACAGAGTTCTTCAATACAGGGCTTTAAGAGTCTGGAGGATATGCCATCAACTCCAGTCGAGGATGACGACTTAAGAGAAGTTACTGTTACACTTCTTCATTAGTGGCTGGATAAAGAAAGGTCATGTTATGTTCTAGGTCAAGGGGCTGAAGCACAGGGATTGTTCTGAGAGGCTATCATCACTGTTGGCGTTTAATGTGTCCTCCGCAACAGTGGTGAAGTATCTGTTGAAACAATCTGCTATGGTTTTAGGGTTATCTATGGTTTCACCCTCGCTCATTATTTTCCAGACCACATCCCTCATCTCCTCACAAGCCTTTCTCTCGGAATTGACAATGTTCCAAATCCCCTTAATTCGGTTGCTGGATTGGGACATCGCCAGAGCATTGGTCTCACGCCTGATAGTTTTCAGCGCTAGGTCGTACACTTTTTTCTTTTGCGCAGCATCAAGCTTGTCATAATCTCTTCCAGTCAGTGTATATCTTTCCTGGGCTATTCGAAAATCATCTTTTAGTCCAAGTACGTCTTGGTTATAATGAATCATGTTCTGCCCTGACCGGCGGGGCCGTACAGTCTTGTGAGGACATGCTTCATTCAGTGCAAAAGTAAACAGGCTCATGAACACTGACAATGCTTTGTCTACATTTTCGATCTGAAAAACCGCATCCCACGATGTCTCTCTCAGAATAGCTTTAAGATTGTTGATGTTGTGGTTACTCAGGTTCCTACGAGTAAAAGTCGGTAGGCGTTTAGTTCTTCGTGGAAGGCTGAGAATGCAGAACTGGCCGGCGTGATCTGAAATGTGCTCATGTACCACTGTTGCAGCTAACTTCTCAGGATCAAGATTGGGGCACACGACATCGATTGATGTCTTAGATGTTGATGTGACTCTTGTGGCAGGTAGGTCGACCCTGTGCATGTCAAAACACGCCAACAGATTTCTGAGGGCTTCATTTTCACGGTCTTTTGCTGGGTTGAGACTGTCAACATTTAAGTCCCCCATGAAGCATATGGGACTGTTATCAGGTGGTATTAATTCCAAGGCATTGGAAATTTTCAAAAGGGCTTCATCCAGCTGATTTCCTGGGGGCCGATAAACACCAAGCACGTAGAGATACTTCTCTCCTTTCAGGCGTAAATGTAAGCGTTGTAAGTGTAGTGTCCCACTAAACTTTTACGAATTATTATCCATGGTTGATAAGAACCATGTAATTAAAAAAACCGCGAGCCTAACCCAGAATTTACACCTCCCAATTTTCATCCTCCCAATAGTTTTTTATTTTTATTATATGAAAATAATTATGTTTTGTGATAGTGTGTTGTTTTACAGGCTTTGAGCAGTACTTCTTCCTGGTAAATTAATGACGTCATCTTTCATCTTCATCTTTCGTTTCGTCGTGTCTTGTTTTTTGGAATATCAGTAGAACGTGATTCAATGACAGTCTTCCTTCATCAAAAGTATTAAAATTTATTGAATATATGGCATTCGTGTGTATTTCACCCTCGTAAATTGAACGTATACACCGCTAACGTTGCTATTATAAATCAAATAATTTTGTTCCAACGCAAATTAACTTGTTAAACTCAAAACTCACATCAACGATGGCGTCCGATCCACACTCAAAACACAGGATGCAAGTCTTCAAAAACAAAGGAAAAGATCAAGATGTGAGTTTTCGACACACAATTGTTGTAATAGTTTATTTTAAAATTGTAATTAGCAATATATTTGCTTGTAACGTAAGTTTCATCATCGATCAAACATGGTTGGCCATGGCCTAGGCCACCACGGACCTCCATGCATTCTTTTTCTCAAGACCTTGGACAGTCGATTAATTAATAAAAATAATGACATTCAGAGTAAATGTATGGTTGTATTTTATATTGTATAGCTATATCCCTTAATATATTGGGTATGATATTAGACCTAATAATTATTGGTTTATTAAGTTTTAGATGCCAATGATTTACACTAAGGTCAAGGCTAAACCAAACCCTCCATTTACCATAGGCCTAAGTTTTGAATGATCATTGTTAGGTAGTAAATGTGGCTTGATATTTTAGTAATAAGTACAACGCTTTAACACAGACATTCAAAACGTCCTTTTTCATAAATGAGGCCTAGGCTAGGGTAACTTTGTTTATTTGCACTGAGCCCCTTGAGTTGTCTGGATTTGAAAATGCTAAAACTTATTAGCCTATCAGTTGTGCAAACGATAACCACAAAATAATACATTATGGCTGAGTTAACTTACTAAGTTAGGCCTAGTTACCTCATAATAAAAATACCTAGCTAAGTAGAACTTGTGTGAAGGTTGCCTGTTTGATCAAAAACTCTTACTTGTCAGTCACTTTGATGAAGGTAGTGTTAAGGTAGGGAAACTATGATATAGTAAGATATTATCGGATTAAAAATTGCATATTAATTTGATGCAACTAAGGCTTTTGTATTGGATAGGCCTAATTTATTGTTTTCACACAATATAAAATCGATCATATGTATTTGATAACTTAAGTCAACATTTTAACCCATCTGGTGTCAGTCATTTTGTGTGTGGTTATGGTCAATTTTCAGGCAATTTGCAGCAATGTTTAACTTATTATCTACCGGTATCTTATTATTAAAGTGATACAATACAATTTTATGTAGGTAAACGGTTAAGGCCATTTACCAAATACAAATATGGGCATATTGCACATTAAAATGAAGCTTAGAGTGTGTAGATTTGCTGAAAAGTATTGATATGGACAAATTTCCTAAGGGCTCTGCCCCACAGGCTGATTTCCAAAGGGCTACGCCTGACATGCTTCGAAAGCTTAAATGATTTAATTTAAAAAGTTAATGAAACAGCTGGTTAGTAAGTTACAAAACATGTTTATTTACTCGAAAAAGTTTTTTGTGATGCTTTGTGTAGATTGAGGAGGGTTATGTTTGGTTTTAAAGAAAGGTTGTAGATACTTTTTGTAAAGTATTGCTCAAAGTTTCATTTTGTAATTTATACAGTAAGCTACATGTAAAGAAGCTTGACTAAAATTGAAAAATTATGATAAAACATGTCATTCATGAAGCATCAAAATGATGCAATTGATGCTATTGCTATATTAAGGTACGGTATGCTGTAATATTCTTTTGGATCTAACTTATTAGGAAGTAGGGGTGTGAAAGTAAGTAGGTGTACATTTTATTTTATTTATTTATGTTGTTTTAGTTTATATTTTCAAACTAAATCATAGAGTTGCTGTAGCCTATTTTAAAACACACGTCATCCCCACTTTATTTATTTATTTACAGACGGAAAACTCCATTTTCATATACATACAATGATGGCAAGACGTTTCATTTAGACTTACCTCACATAAACTTTAATAGCTTTAAAGTTTAAAGCCATAAGTTTAAGTAGGGAGGCCTAAATAGGCTAATGATGTAGGAATAGTCCCAAAATCACTCACTAGGCTTTTTACAATGTCTTAGGCCTACTGGCTTTACAGATAACCTTCAAAACATAACTTCAAACTAATAAACTATTTAGCCTATTATTGATTAGGCTATTTTGTACCGTACATCTAGTCCAGTCTAAACAGATCAAAATCAAGCTTCAATGAAGAAAATAGGCCTATAAGTTAGTAAGTTAACAAACAACAGCAACAAGCAATAGGTTACGGAAACCAAAACCAAAACATTGACTTTTTCTCAAAACATCTAAAAGCAGACAAACAAAAGTACTTAAGGGTATAGAAACAGACACTAGGAGGAAGCTAGTTTTCTGCTGTTTACAGCGATAGGCTACCTAAGTCCTTAGATACAGTCCAAATTTGATATTTAAATTATATAGACCTCAAATTAAAACAATGGTATCTATTTAATATCAAATTAACTTAAAATTTCATCCAATTTAAAATATCATAGGTTCTCTGCAGAAATCATAAAGAAATTTGTTTTTCCTGCATAGGAAATGAGAAGGAGAAGGAATGAAGTGACAGTTGAACTGCGTAAAAACAAACGTGAAGAAACACTGCAGAAGCGGAGAAATGTTCCTATCACAGATTCCACAGGTAAACACTATATGCCTCCATATGACATTAAAAACGATTAGGGACATTTAAGTTGATTAGAAGGCTCTCATTCTTTTTATGCTCATTTATGCTCATTTATGACAATGCCCATTTCATGTACATGATGAACGGTTAATAAATCAAATCATAATGCTTAATAGACCGTTTGTATTAGATGATGCACTGAAGAAATTACATGAATTATGTCTCCGCTAAGTATGACGATATTCTATTTTATTTTATTTTAATGGACATTCCATTTTGATGTAGTTCTAGTATTATTTGTTTAAACATGATCAGTATCAGTTAAATGCAATGTATACAGTTGCAAGATGGTTAATATTAAATAACAACTATAAAATTTGTGTTAGACATAGGCAACAAAAACAAATAACAATTAATTAATAATTAACAACAATAACTCCTAGCAAAAACAATAACAATGAAGATTGCCCTATGTACCTGGATTTAATATAAGGAAAACGGGCACGTGTTCAAAAAGTAAATATATAAATAAGTAAAAAAATATATATAGGCTTATAGATATTCCTTTGGTTTTAGTTTAGACTATACGAGACTTCCTCCTGCTAAAACTTATTTGGTTCCAGTTAGCCAACCTTTCATGACTTTAACTTACACCTCGTCATTGGCTTGTCTAGGTAAACAACCATGTCAACCTTTTGATCCAACTCGCTCCAAAGATGTTATTGTTGTATTTCTCTTTTATGATCATTTGGCTTTCTAATTGTGTAATCATTATATCCTACAATAGTACATATTTTTTGGTATTCTGGACCCACTTAAGTTTTTCAATGAACATACAGTATTTTTTCATCCTGTCTAATAATTCATGACTCATTTTTTCCTCTTTGACAGATGAGGACGACATTGACAGGAACCTGTCCAACATCAATTTGGAACAGCTGGTGATGGAAGCAGCCTGTGATAACCCAGAGAAACAACTCGTTGCCGTCCAGTCTGCTCGGAAACTGCTCTCCTCCGATAGAAACCCCCCCATTGACTCCCTCATAGCCAGCGGAATACTGCCTATCTTAGTCAAATGCCTTGAAAATCACGAAAAGTATGTTGGTCCTTAGTTTTCTATATAAATTTTCCAGCTTAGTAAGTTCAAGTGTAAGATCATGTAAGGAAAAAATTATGAATTGAAATAGGGCCTACGAAAAAGCTGTGTGTGATGGTCAACACATATCATATTAGGCCTAATGGAAATCTACTAAGACCTATAACACACATAACCATAACTCAATAACCATAACAACCATAATAACCATAACATAATTTTTTGTTTCTCTACGAGCATTTAGCAGTGATGAAGGCTAATGAGTGTGTGAATGTTGCAGCCCCTCCTTGCAGTTTGAGGCGGCCTGGGCCTTGACAAACATCGCAAGTGGCACGTCACTACAGACACAAGCCGTGGTGGGCGCAGGCGCTGTGCCACTGTTCTTGCAACTATTGCATTCCTCTCATCAGACCGTGTGTGAGCAAGCCGTCTGGGCCCTAGGTAGGTGCTTTGGCTGTTTGGTTGTGCTCGTGGTAATCCTGTCAGTTTAGAATTCAGTATCAGGGATTTGTTTAGATCTTCTTTTGGTTCTCTTGTTTTGGAATTTTATTTGTTCTTTAAGAATTTTTTATGTAACAGGATTGACTTTTAGATATTGAATTAGACATCCCATCTACATAGACCATAGCTGTCTATATGGATCAGCTGTTGTCAGTTTTTTATTAAACAGGGACATTGTTCTGTGAGCCAGTCGCAGATTGCACTACTCCTAAGTCCTAATGTGTAATACTCTTATTTTATTTTATTCCGATGGACATTTCAGTTTGATGTGAACAAATTAAAAGGACTATTCCCTACCTCACCTATTTTCTGTTGCTCAGATGGTTGATGTGACATACAAGATGCTATAGTTTACAATAAATAAGTCATCATATCAGTTTGACTTCCGGTTACAAAGCCCGCATATTTGAATGAAATCAGGTATTTACAATGGCACAATCTGTTGGTGTCTCTTTTACAAAAGTCCATTTTGATTTAGCCTATAATATGGTGACAACATTAACTTATGGATGGAATGTCTACGTAGTTCTAATCCAAAGGTAGTAGCAGTCAAAACTTTACTTTGGACATTTTATGTCTATATACATTATATATATGAGACACTCAAATGGTCCTGAGAGTTAAAGCCTAGAACTTTTCTAAAAAGTTTGTTTTGTAAATTGTAGGGGTGGGCGAGTAGTGATTTTTCAATTCGAGTCAAGTAGAGTATTTGAGTAAAAACTTGAGTATCGAGTAGAGTCGAGTAGTTGCGCGTTAAGTAGGCCTAGGCCCAGGGTTTAAGCTGCGGTAGTATTTTTAGCATCTTGCTATTCACAACTTAAAAATGCTAAGGTTACATTGTTTTGCAGGCTAGGCCTATGGCAAATTTTCTACAAATAAAATTGAAAGATGTAATGTTCAAACAAATGTAATATTAGCCTACTGGAATTTTTTGTTTTAAATGCTTAAGTTATTGAATAATATTTTTTCTACAGTTAACATAGTTTTTGTCTTTGCAGAGAGTTTGCAGCATTTTGCTGAAACAAATTTCATCCTAGCCTAAACCCTGCCTAGGCCTAAATAGGTAGTTTAAGTACTCATACCAAATTTTCTAAGTTATATGGTTACTAATTATTAGTACCTCTTACCTTAGGCCTAATAAAAAATTTGGCCTAGACTACTTGTTGGCTGCAGCATTAAATTATTTAGGCCTACACATCACTTGTTATTGTGTGTTTTATTTTTTCCTGCCTTTAATTCCTCCTCACTAACATGATAATCAACCTAACTAACTAACTTAATAAGGTAACTTTAAGAATAATTTCAATTCAAATAAGAATCAGAATTTATAAAAAAATAAATTTATTTATAGAACAGAAAACTAATATCAAACTACATATTGTATCATAAGTTAAAAATATCAATATGCAATTAGGTATTTTAAAATAATCACTTGGATAAGCACTTCATCTGTCTTAAGTTTGAAGATTATGGGTACTAGGGCTATCCTCTTCACTCAGTACATTTATAAAAATGATCAAGTCACTCGTCTCTGACAGACTGAAAATATCAAATAAAAACATAGGCCTATTATCTCGAAATAAAATCCCACATTAAATACTTAATTTAAAATTAAAACACATTTCACTGTAGCCCGGTATAGCCTATTTGTCCTTTCTTTATAAACTTACATTTTCGAGGTTAAGTTACAATTCAAACTGTAGTTGTCATGTTCCTGCCACCAGATTGAAAATTGCACAATCAAAATCACAAACAGAATAAATGTTTATTTTACTCTCTACTAAACTTCCACTAACAAAATCAATTTTATTTTAAGTTAGAAATTAACTTCAAAGTAAAAACATTCAAAACAAAACTGACATTGACATAACTTCACTCCAATCCATTGTTTTGTTGTTTTGTTACGCCAGCTGTCACCATATCTGCTCTCTCTCTCTCTCTCTCTAGTCAGTCTGCTCATTCTGCTTCTGCTTTGTTTTCCCATCAAACAGCTGTTTTGCAGGGCTGACTTGCCATATTTATCATTACAACATTATGGTGAATGTCTGTAAAATTATCATAAAATTGCTATAGCTTTTATTTCGTGAAAAAAATAATAGTTTGACTAATTTTAATCATGTTTATGTAAACTCATTAGAAAATAAATTATATTTATAGTTTGTTTACGCCAATACCACAGTTGTAAAAGTACAAAAATTATCGTCCCTCTGGCAACACTGAGTTTAAAGTGGAACTGATCATTTCTTTCTGCCAAGACCCAATGAGATTGCGTCATTCAGATGCATCGATGTTCCTTGCAGTCAGTGGCGTAACAGAAGGGCCCGCAATGCGGGGGTGGGGGGGCCTGGGAGCTGAGGGGGCCGCGAACCGGTGAGCGGGAAACAGCGAGAGCAGAGAGGCCCGTGAGACGAGTGGGTCCGAAAAATTTGGGTTCATTCTTATTCAAATGTATTACAGTAAATTTTCCATCCTTATGGAACAGCTGAAGCCAATTTTATTGTTAGTTCTGTCCGGTTTTCTTTAGATGTCGTGTTTTGTTTACAATTTGTTTCTATTATTTTAGGGTTAGTTTCTCATTATTTGTGTCTCACTGTTTGGTTATATAACTAGTGGACGAGTTACTGTCTATTATAGTGATGGGCGGATCCAAGAAAATGTCGGTACCGGATCCGGATCTTCGGATCCAAATACAGATATGTTTTTTTCTTTTTTGAAGGGCGGGTTTTTTTAACCCCTTAACCGCCGTCTAAGTAGCCTAGTCAAAATCCGCCATTGCCACTTATTTTTGCCGTTTTTGACGATTTTTACTTGTGATTTAAAAAACTGTACCAGTTGTTTTTTTAAAGAAAATAGTTATCAATATTGTTTGTAGACATCTTCAAAAACATAAAGCTTTAACAATACCCTACTAAAATTTGTGATTGGGGGGGGGTGGGGTTCGGGGGTTTCTTGAGTTAGGCCTATAATAAAAATTAGGCCTACAATAAAGTCTACAACTCTAATAAATCGTCATCCTCAAGCATGTCACCAGCTATTACGACTAATATTTACTACTCATTCAACACTACCAAGTAAATAACCACCAAAAAACACAATTATAATGACACGCATAATGTACGTAAGCATTACGTAAGCTTCCGCAAGCACGAGTTTTACTGAAAATACGAACGGAACTGATCGGGACCATTACTGACCTATAATACCTCTAAAATCCACCAGATTGCAGCACTAGTCAAGCAGCACTGTCAACAACTTGTTTGCGTACGTATATCAGAGATAAGGCGGGAAGTGAGCTGTTAAAAATAAAACACAACAGCTGATTACGTCAACACGAGATAACTCGTACGTGGCGGTTGCTCTGAAAACTAGTATCGCCCGGCATATCTCGTGCGTGGCGGTTAAGGGGTTAATAAAATAATTCATATGGCTAGGCAATGTCAAAGACTAACTGTGTCCATATAAAAACACTTAATATGTGCCGTTATTGAAAACAAAGTTATCACAATTCTATGTTACGCAATGAACTACCACCTATCGTGTTGTCTTTTCTAACACAGCTATTTGTGTCTGTGTCGTAATCTTCAACGCAGTGCGAGTGCGTGATTGGCTCGTCGCTATGACGACACACGGTTGCCGTGACAACTTACAGTGCGCACTGAGCACTGCGCCTTGTGTGGGAGGGGAGATTATACCAACAAACTATTTCAGGAATTCCATTTTGGGACGGATGAAAGATAAGGAAGAAACTAAAAATGTCACGTGTGCAAATGTAGTGGGCGAGACAATAAGGCTATAAACGAGTATTGTCACGTCGTTGTTCCTTGTTTGTTCACTTTTTCAGATTCCCTATCAGACGCCCCTATCTGCTATCTCTCTCTATCCCCCTCTCTCTCTCACTCTAACTATGTACTGATTAAACAGATTGTGGTTGACGACTTTTCTACTTATAAGTTTCCCTGCGGTTATTTTAGTTAAATCAATCCCATAACCTTTCTATCGTTTATCAAAATAATTAATTAATGTGTTTTGTATTTTATTTCCTTTAAACCAACCTCTATTTACCATCTGTATTTTATAGAATAAAATGTTTGTTTATAAAGTTTGACTGGCCACAGAATTTTGTACCTATTTTATTTTGTATAAAGTAACAGATACTTGATGATTATATATATCAATAAGTGCTGCGTGCTGTAATGAATGCGTTTTATTATCAAAATAAGTATTAATTTTTGATAATACACGGGTCATTGAATACCATAATGTCATGTAGTTTCCTATTTGAAACTTGCAAATAATAATAATTGATAGTTAATTCTTGAAAATAGAAAATAGTGAACGCATTCATAAACCTGTTGTCAAAACAGCAACGCGGGTGTAGGGTTTATTGTTTCAGAGGCTAGGGTGTTTCAAGGACAAAGTGTTGGGCCTCCCGGCTTAGGGGGGGAGGAGTGGTGGTGAGACTGCAAGACGGGGAGGAAACTGGTTTTGGCTATTTATTGATTAGTTCACCCAATGTTGCTATTCCTCTCATTTCGAGGTCATTGCACAACCCCTCCCTCCCTTCTATTGTTTTGCCTTTATAGTGTTTCTATTCTGACTTTTATAAACATAAATTTATTGCTTACGTAACAGTTCAGTAGTGTAATTTTCTATTGTGAAACAGTAGGCCTACTTTAAAACAAAATCACTACCGATCATGTCATTCTATTCTGTGTCAAGTCAGTATACCATTGCCAGTCAGTCGCCGGCGACTGCTTTGAGTTGACCTATTCTGTCGTGACAGCTATAAAAATAGGTTAGGACAACTACCGCTTGCTTATTTTTATATTTGTATTACTGTAGAACCTACAGTAATACAAATTATCCATCATTTTATGTAAACACAAGTTACATTTAAACAAATATTGATTTTTTACAATTTTAAACCAAACTGGCGAGTTCAAAGATAAGCTCGAGTTTCAAGGCAGTACTCTACTCGAACTCGAAATCTCTAATACTCGCCCGTTTTGTGTTAATAGTATTAAAAAAATCGGATCCATTAAAACCGGATCCAGCCCAAGATCAGATTTTTTGTGGATCCGATCGGGCGTCGGTTCTAGCTCAGATCCGGCGGATCCAGTAGTCCGATATCCGGATCCGACCATCACTAGTCTATTATGATTAGATGGTCTTATTTGGTTAAACGAGGTTTTAAATTAATGAAATAACAAGAAACAAATTGTAAACAAAATACGACATCTACAGAAAACCGGACAGAACTAACGATAAAATTGTCATCAACTGTTCCATAAGGATAGGAAATTTACCAAGGGAGTACGTTTTATCAATGTTATTACCTATCAATCATTCAATAATTATATTGAACAAGTAATGACATCAAAGTTATTAATAATATGATGTTATCGTTTAATTTCGTTAGGCCTCTTTAGTGATGAGTGATAACGAACTAAGGTAACAAATTTAACGTGGGGGTCATTGATGCAATATTACTTTCATCACCGGGAAATATTTTTCTTCTCTGTGATTTAGTACACTGCTTATGTCGTCTGCAAACATTTTGAAACATTAATTTACCTGGAGCTGGAGTCATGAACGTTGGCTGGGGCTTTTAATATTGTATTATTTTCCATTTTAATTTTGCCCTGATATTGGTTGTATTTCGTTAAATACAATATATTGCTACTCTGCTGACTTTGTTATCTTATATTTTCTTTTACATCACAATTAACCAATACTAAAGACATATAATAATGTTTAAACACTTGAAATCCATGAAAAGATAAAATTAAAAAATGCAATAGGCTATATTAGTCAAGCTTTTAAATAAACCAACTTTTATTGTATGAGTTAATTATAACCAAAGATTAAACTAACCTATTAAATAAATATTATTTTAATACATTACTTTGAAATGGCTACCATACAAATGTAGGTATTTTAAGCCATCCAAGTATGAATGGAAATTGGAGATGAGTGTAGGATGAGTGGCGCAACCTTGTAATCTTGATCGTGACAGAGGCAGACATATTATTTAGACACAGCTGTTCAAGGGGCCTACAGTTTATATAGGAATCCGAACCACATTTTTGCCTTGTAATTAACAAATTAGTCTAATTATCAGGATAGCAAAAATGGATAACATGTGTGATTAAAATTAAAACCTCCTTGATATAATCATTCTGATACGGATGATAAAATAAGGAATTTTTATTTTATTTCAAAACTATTTACAAACGCTATAATGATATAGTGATGTAACTTTTTGATAAAACCATGACTGAAATACTTACTCCCTTTTATGGAACTTAATCCATAATTTATTTATTACTCTATTTATGACTAATCTGTTTGATAATTCTAAAGGTGGTCCAAAAATAACTCTGCGGGGAGGGGGAGGGTGTTTAATTATGTTGTATTGGTGGTCTAAAAATAACTCATGAGAGGGGGCCCAAAAAATAAGTTTGCAGGGGGGCCCGTAAAAATCTGTTACGCCACTGCTTGCAGTAACTTATCGGTTTGTAAAACTGAACACCAATACCGAAAAAATATTATGCTATAATAGGTTATTTTTATTTGTTGTATTTCTATATTTTGGTATAAAATATTTTGTTATTTCTATATTTTGGCATAAAATATTTTTATGGCAGTTCAAACTAAATTAGATACTGTACTTTATAATATCTTCAAGAATCGTCTGCCATTGTTATACTAGTCACGAGACTCCCTTGTTGACTATCGACTATTGCAATTCGATAGATTCATTCAATGCTTTATTTCAACTTACTGTATCGTTATCGAGACATATTGTTGAATGTTGTAGGAAAGTGAAAGTCTTAAGTAGTCCTCTTTCTAGCTCTGCCGAATGACGATGCAGTTAAAACTTACCCCCGGTTGTTTGTTGAACATTTGGTTTACGCTGGTCTAACCTATATGAGTTTAGATAGTTGTTTTTTGTAGGAATGGGGATTAAATAAGGCATCAACACAAAACAAAATATAATTTATTAAATATGGGTGTAGAAAACCGTGAAGTGGCACTATTTATAACTACTCGACTCAAATTTTCGAGTAGTAATTACTACTCGACTCGAGGTCGAGTATTTAAAAAAACTCGAGTACTCGCCCACCCCTAGTAAATTGTGTATTTTGTTATTTTACACATTACAAGCCTAAGACTTGTAAAATAATGATTTTGGACATAGTTTATATATATTTAGGTCTTGGAAATTAATTATGCGACCTGGTCGTTTTGTAATGGACCCATCTGCTTATGTTGCTCATTTGAATTTATAACAGAAAAACTTAATTAATAACATACACAGGGATCTGTTTTTTAGAATTTTTTGGACAGTAAGCTTATCTGAATGGCAAAGAATCTCTTCTGGATCCAGAAATATAGAAACGTAATATTATAGGCCTAGGCCTATACTAAATATAAATATTTTACAGTTGCAGTAGGTCCTTCTGTCTGCCATTACCTTATACCCAACCGAATTTGCACAACAGTTATTTGAAAGGAAACGTTAGGCCTACATAAGAATGGCTTATCCAAAACTATGTTCAAACCTTATTTCACAACTTTGGTTAAAACTGAAAACTCGTTTTTACATTTTTAAAAGACCCATCACAATAAACATTCAAGAAGTTTTCACAACATTACAGGAAACATAATTGGTGACGGTCCGGCTCTGAGGGATTATGTCATCAACCTGGGAGTGGTTCAGCCTCTGTTAAACTTCATCAAGCCAGACATCCCGATATCGTTCCTGCGCAACGTCACATGGGTCATAGTGAACTTGTGTCGCAACAAAGATCCACCTCCATCGGTACAAACCATCAGTGAGATCCTGCCCGCCCTGAACGTCTTGATCCATCACAACGACATAAATGTAAGATACATAACACATGAACATTGAGAGATAATGCGTATTCAATAGTAATAGGTAGGTAGTGTAGACTGGGTTGGTACTTTATAGGCTAAGGTAAAAAAAATTCCTTTTGTAGGTCAACACTAAAATTGAGCTTAAAAGTTAGCAACTGGGCTATAATTCAACTAACCAATAGATGTGGTATAGTATTTCTAATTACGAGGCATGTTGAAAAAAATGTTGACGGCTTAACTTTTTTTTTAAGTAAGCACCGTTTATAAATTTCTCCGTTCCAGCGTTGCAGTTGGCATTTTGGACATTTGTGCTTTGTATGTGCATCTATTGGCAAGCCTGCACCAGAAATTCGGCAACAATCGGCCGTGTTTACATCCGGTTTCGAGCATTCAAAATGGTGCCGCCGACTGTGAAGTGCGTGCTGTAATTAGATTTTTAAGGGCTAAAGGTGTGAAAGCTATTGAAAATCATCGACAGATTAGTGAAGTGTATGGCGAGAACATAATGAGTGACAGAATGGTACCTATGCAAGTGGGTAAGGGCATTTAAATATGGCCCCACCAACGTTCATGATGAGCAACGCACTGGGCGGCGTCATTACTGTCCCCAGTGCGTTGCTCATCATGAACGTTGGTGCGGCCGTCTTTAAAAGCCCTTACCCACTTGCGTACCATTCCGTCACTCATTATGTTCTCGCCATAATCAATCTGTCGATGATTTTTAATGGCTTTCACACCTTTAGCAGTTAAAAATCCAATTACAGCGCGTACTTCACAGTCGATGGCAGTCTCAATTGGCGGCACCATTTTGAATGCTCGAAACCGGATGTAAACACGGCCGATCAATTTCCTTAATTTTTGTATAGGTCATACTGGATACTTCAGCTAAAAAAAACTTGTTTACAAAATAAACTAAACTATACTTTTCTCTCAGGCTTTGCTTCTGCTATACAGCATATAAATCAATGATCTGAAACTGGACCCAGCTTTCCTTGATTGGGCTTTTCTAATGACATTTACCAATGAAACAGCTGGTCTTAACAGTCAGTAAAGAAGCTACACAAATAATCTAACTCCATTTTACATTCACCTTATAATAAATATGCAAGCAAGTACAAACAGTCTCAAAGAATTAATTGATTTAATCATTTTTATTAAAATAAGTTTCATATGAAAAAATACATCTTTTTCAAAAGACTTTCAACTTCTCATGTGTTTTGATTAGCTCAAGACTCATAGGAGTCTATGGAGCTAACAGCATTGTCTTGGTATTATTAAGCCTACTGTACTTGTGTTATCAACAGAGTTTCCACAACTACTCTCAAGTTACAAATATGTTTCATAACAGAATATTGAATCATTTTAAAAACAAAATAATACTTTTGTAAGTAATTGGGTCAGCTCTAAAATGTCTGTCTAATGCTGTAGGCCTATAATGCAATTTGTCTGATAGTTAATGATTATTTGTAGATACTAGTAGACACAGTGTGGGCCCTCAGTTATCTAACAGACGGAGGCAATGAGCAGATCCAGATGGTCATTGACAGTGATGTGGTGGCTAACCTCATTCCTCTCCTATCTCACAAAGAAGTTAAGGTAAAGATGAACGAATACTTGTTTATGGAGGCAAATTTATTACCACATGGTCCTTTCTTACAACTAACCTCATAAAATGAAAAATTACACAACCAAACAATACCATATTTTAGTACCTACAGTACTTTACTTTCCTGTTGGTTTTTGATGATTTGAGATAGTATAGTACCCTATAAAATGAGTTAGTGTACTGTAACTATGTCAATGTGATTTTTTCGGACAGTGAAAATTCTGGGAAAACACAGGATGGGAGAGGGATAATTTGATTGAGAGTATAGGGGTCTGCAGGTTCCAGATATTTTTGGGTTTGGGTTTAGTCAGCAGTTTGGCCCAAGGGATCGGTTTGAATAGAAATAATTTTCGGGCCAAGCTCGGGTCGGGTGATTTATGTTAGAAGTATGTCATTTTTTTTAGATCTAAGGAAACAACTGCCAAGATGCTCAGTCTGAAATTGACAATTTTGTTGTTACGATGTCCCCTTGACCGCAGAAGATGTTTAGAATTTCCCATGATCAAAGATGTTAACAATTTTGCCGTGACTTAAAAAAACCGACTGTAGCATTAGGCCTACAATCAATTTTTTTTTTTCAATCTGGAGCCTTCTTTAGAAAGCAACCTGATTTTGGCCTAGACCTGAAAGAATACAATTTTGACACCACTCAGAGAAAAATAAACTGGCCTACAGACTCCCAGAATCAGGAGGTTGATGTTTGACACAGAAACTGATTTTAACAATTTGATGTTAAAATTATGCAATTCACTTGTACATGTAACTGATGTTTGTTGTGTACAGGTACAGACAGCTGCTCTGAGAGCGGTTGGCAACATTGTCACAGGCACAGACGAGCAGACCCAGGTGGTTCTCAACTGTGACGCACTCTCACACTTCCCCGCCCTGCTCACCCATCCCAAAGAGAAAATCTGCAAGGTTGGTAATGCTGTGTTGTATGTACAATAACTGTTTGTGCTCCATTCCACGTTCACTGTGTAGCACGGAGGTTTACAAGTTATGTATTGAAAAATGAAGTTTCAGTGTAAAAAGTCTTGGGTAACAAGAGGTATTAAAATATCTAGTATTAGAAAAAGGGAACTAAGCAGACTTGTAAAGAAAACAAATAGAAATCTGATAGAAATTTTATTAATTAGGCCTATGTAAAAAGGTATAAATTAACTTTCAACAAGGTTAATTAAGTGTTTTTTGGCTTAGTCTTAGAAATGGTTTAAGCACAATTACAGCGTTATCAGATTTTATTAGCGAGGTTTCATGGGCTTTGGATGGATCACAGAGCACAAAGGGAGTGTTTTGTGACCTATCCAAGGCATTTGACTGTGTGAACCATGGTATCCTTTTGAAATAGCTAAATATTTATAACCTTTCAAAAAAAATCTGTTTTATGGTTGACTTAATACTTAATAGATCGTTTTCAAAGAACTGGTATAATTTTTAACTTGGTAATTAAAAATCAATATCAGAATGGGAAAAGATTACAGTTGGTGTTCCTCTAGGCTCGATTCTTGGACCTTTACTCTTTATTTTGTATATAAATGACTTGCCTAAAAACAACCTATTTATCTAACAACCTTATTTTATATGCCTGTGATACAACTGCAGTTGTCAAATCTAAAAAAGATTCAGAATTATCGCTCAAAGCTAAACAAGCCTTATCGGAACTGGAACATTGGTTCAGCATTAACGGTCTAAAAATCAAGATAAAACCCAATTGGTAAAGTTTTGTACTCCTCAGGCAAGGGAGTTTGGAGACCAAAATTTACATGTTCAGTTCACGATGATGCAAAATTCCTCGGTTTTGTATGTAGATTCAAAGCTAAATTGGAACAAAAGCATTGAAAATTTAATTAGTAGACTGAATTCGGCATGTTATCAAATGATATGTTTAAGAAACACAATTGACTTAAAAACTCGTTTGATGTTACTATGCATACTTCTATTCAATTCTTCAATATGGAATTGAATTCTGGGGCTTAGCATCAAACATTGATTTAATTTATAAGATTCAGAACAAATATTAAGAATAATGACATTTGCGCCATGGAGAACATCTTGTAAACCAATTTTTAAAGAGTTAGGAGTTCCTGGTTTAACAATAATAAAAAAAACTCTAAATGGTAGAGGGAAATTTTGAAAAAATATGTAATGTAAACGTTAAGCACATAGGTATGATACTAGGTTTCAAACTAATTTTCAATATCCGCGGCATCGTCTTTCATTAGTAGAAACACTCCAACATACATGGGCAAAAAACTGTTCAATAAACTGTCTCAAGAATTCACACACTTCAAAAGCAGCCTTGCTAATTTTATTTTAAGAAAAACCTATTACTATAAATGAGTTCTTAACCGATCAGGATGTGTAATAATGAATTTGTTTTTAACTATATTTTTTTTTTATTAATCCATTTTTGTCTAAACCATTACAGTAATTTGTTTTTATAGTTTTAGTTAATTTTATTATTTTACAACCCCTTAGTCTTAAGGTATTTGTATATTGACAATGTCATCTGTTCTACTGTATTTGTAAACGTTATGTGACGATAAAGATTTATTTATTTAGTGACGCTAACCTTCCTAAAAATGGGACTGGATCGACAAAACACTTATTAACTTTTTAAGGATTTTGTTGTGGATAGGTTTAACAGCAGACTTACCTTCCTGTCAAAAATACACGAATACATACATACAGGGTGAGTTTTAATTGTCCCCCCCCCCCCCAACTTTTTTCTACATTGTTTCAAATATCAATCCCAGACTACTTCCAAACATTGCTGAGTAGTAAGTACTTCATTTTGACAAGGTGGTCATTTCCGGCCGCCATCTTGGATCCGCCATATTGGATGCAAAATATTTTTTTCAAATGTAAAGGTGGGGTTGTAACCCATTATTTCGAACTAGATTTTTACCCTGATTACAATGTCGTAAACCGTTTTTAAAAATCTTGATTCATTCTAAAGTAATGAGGCCTTTTTAAAACTTTATTTTTAGCCCATTTTAAGATTGTGCTTATACAAACTAAGACCATAATTTAAAAATAGTGCTAGATAAAGATAAGTATACACTACCAATCATTGCCAACCTATTTCCACTTGGTTATGAATGATGTATTTTTTTCGGCCGCCATCTTGGATCCGCCATTTTGAAATGTGATAAATTATTTTAAATATAAAAGGGGTGTTGTGACCCATCATTTCGGATTACTTTTTTAAGCTGAACTCAATTCCATGGTCCATTTTTCATTTTCATATTTTGATTTTGAAATATTAACATTTTTAACAGAAATATTGCAATGTTTTATAAATAAAACATGATAACAAAAAATGGATTGCGGCATTGAGTTTAGCTTAAAAAAGTAGTTCAAAATGATGGGTCACAACTCACCCTTCATATTTAAAATAATTTATCCCATTTCAAAATGGCAGATCCAAGATGGCGGCCGAAAAAAATACATCAGTCATTAATAAGTGAAAATAGGTTTACAATAACTGGTAGTGTATACTTATCTTTATCTAGCACTATTTTGAGATTATGGTCTTAGTTTGTAAATGCACAATGTTAAAATGGGCTAAAAATAAAGTTTTAAAAAGGCCTCATAACTTTAGAACAAATCAAGATTTTTAAAAATGGTTTGCGGCATTGTAATCATGGTCAAAATCTAATTCGAAATAATGGGTCACAACCCCACCTTTACATTTGAAAAAAATATTTTGCATCCAATATGGCGGCCGGAAATGACCACCTTGTCAAAATGAAGTACTTACTACCCAACAATGTTTAGAAGTGGTCTGGGATTGATATTTGAAAAAATGTAGAAAAAAGTTGGGGGGGGGGACAATTAAAACTCACCCTGTATAATTTCCTGTGCTACAAGCCCCTTCTTCAGTTGGAGATTCCTTGAGTACTAGAAGAGTCCGAGAGTAAATTCAATACTGAAGAAGTACTACAGTTGAGATGTGTATATACTAAATATGTCAGATCCTTTCTCAAGAATAAGGAGCTAAACCATTCCCCAGCATATAGTACAAATATTTAAGCTGCAGTTTACTAAGGTCAGTTCTTTGCATGAAATGAAATGCATCAAAATCCTTGTGTACATTGTATGTAATATAAGTTTTCAGAACAGATCAACTGTTCAGCTTTGATCTAATGTATGTTTTCAATTTCAGGAAGCTGTTTGGTTCCTATCAAATATCACGGCAGGAAACCAAGCCCAAGTCCAAGCAGTCATTGATGCCGGCCTTTTACCCAAAATCATCAAGAATTTGAGCAAGGTTTGTATGTGATTGTAATACGATTCTAAACTGAACACACTTTTTTCACTTAACACGCTTTATACGTTTTATTTAGGCCATCTGAGTATTAAGGAAGCATATAAAGCGCCTTCTGTGTATTCTAGATTTGACTAACCTACAATCTAAATTGTATAAACCAAAACCATAAAATTAACCACCTTAGAATTTTATAGTTGATTTGTAATAGGGAATAACGTTTCAACTTCTTAGGAAAAGTTCTCAAACAATCCATGATTTTTTCAAAATGCAAGTAAAAAGTCGATTTTATGTAGAATTTAGCTTATGTCTGTTCTATGAATGTGTTCTATGAATCTATGGGCCGTTTGTTTTGATTTAACCTCAAAATTTAACAACTATGATCACATGAACACACCACAAAGAAGTGGTAAAATATTGTCCACCATATCTCAACCGCTTCTTGTTAAAAGAATCCAACTGTAATTATTTGTTATAAGTGTTACGTTTGGATTGCAGGGTGAGTTCCAGACACAGAAAGAAGCTGCGTGGGCCATCAGCAACTTGACCATCAGTGGCAACCGTGACCAGGTAGCTCGGTTGGTACAGGAAGGAGTGATCCCACCCTTCTGTAATCTGCTTAGCTGCAAGGACCCACAGGTAAAAACGGAACCAAACCTTATCAACAGTTGAATTTGTAGAGACCAATTTTTTTTTCAGGATGGAATTTTTTGTTTTTTTTTTGCAATAATTGAGACAAATAGTACTCATGGTAAGACCTGGACCAGGGACCGATTTAATTTTTCATTTTGAGGTCCCTAGAGGCCAAAAACACCATCCTTTCAAATTCAATATGTATGTGTCCGTTAGCGCGATAACTCGCTACTATTGAGGTATGGTCAAAAAACACTTTTTACCTTCCCTGTAGCAGCAAACCTAAGCACTCGTTAAATCTAATGTTATTTAAATCGGGAATATATATGTCTTATTTATGGAAATATTTGAGTAAAAATGTAATCAGACAAGTTGAAATTCGCTTAGTCTGCAGGTTTGCTGCGGCGGGGGTATTTTTTTTATAGCGAAGGTTTAATTTTTTGATATGAGACTATTTGACTGACTGCAGGCTTTTTTCTTAAGAAGAATGTTGAATCCGTCATGGGGTAGAGGTAACTAAATAAATTACTCAGGTGTGAAATAATGGTTCGTTTATTAGCGGATATTAATCTCACACATACCGACAAAACAAACTCTTATAATACTAAATATCACAGAAGAATTCCCATTGACTTGCCAATTAATATTATTAGAGGGCTAACGATTAGACCAAAAGCTTGGATGTAAATTTGCACCTATCACCACATACCTACCATTAGTTATAGTCAGAGAGACATCCCAGCGATGTTGGATGGTCAAGATCTGGAGCTTCTCTGACTCTAGACTCGGTGGTTAGCAAAACCACCTTATCTAACCTAAAAGGTAGTAGGGAGCTCAACTTGTTAAGTACTTTAAAGTTTCCCGAATTATTAAAATCCTTGTTTGGTCTGGGATTATTTTACAATCTATAAATATCAAACTGATGCTTTTACTTTTGGTCGAGCTCCCTGCAAACTATTAAATTAAACTGTAGGGGTAACGTTACACATAGGTTAGCTTTTACTCTCCTGCCTCATGTGCCTGGTTTTGTTATTTAGATGTATACAAAGTTTTGTTCAGCAATTTTGTGGTTTGTCTCACAGGTTATTCAAGTGGTGTTAGATGGTATCAACAACATGCTCAAGATGGCCGGACCACAGGTCGAGGCTCTGGCCAACATGATTGAGGAGTGTGGAGGTAAGATAGAGCTGTACAATGCTTCTAAATGCAGTGCATGGCGTGAACTGGCCCCATTCCGAATTACTAGAAATTTTAGTCTATTCTAATATCTAGACGGTGGTGACGTCAAAATGGCGCTAAAGGATGGTGCCATAATAAGTGAAAACAGTTTTAACTGAGTTGTTATTAAGTTTTATACTATACTATACTATACTTAATAAAGAGATTATTAAGATTAAGATTTCAGGTAGTTATTCATAATTTCTAATACATTATTTGGAGTACATTTTTACAATAACAAAAATTTACACGTAATGGTTATGTAAAAATTTAAATTTCCCCTTTTTATCTTAACTACAGTACGTGAAATTAAATAAATAAATAGAGCAAAATTTATTTTGGCCTGAATAAAATATACCACAAAAATTTAATATGCCTGTGATGGAGACTAACGAAGGTTCACTGTACAACTCACTGTCCACTGTTTGCGTTTGTTTTTAAGAACGATTAAAAAAATTATTCAGCTCTTTCAGCATTATTAGATTTAAAACTTATGTAAACTTTAAAACTGAAGTAAGTAACATATTCTGCCAGTATTACTCAGTTGGCCAGGTTTATAATATTGTAAATGTGTTATTTCAGGATTAGACAAGATTGAACTTTTACAGAATCATGAAAATGTAGACATCTACAAGCTGGCTTATGATATAATTGAGCAGTACTTCTCTGAGGTTAGTATTCTATTTAGTCAGATATTTTAAAAGTTGTGCTAAAGATTTTATCAGCAATGTGTTATCTGGCGAATTAGTGCCGATTCTTATTGATTTAATCTTTGATCAATAGAAACAGTAAAACAGTTTTTTTTTTTTTTTTTTTTTTTTTATGAAGGATTAAGCGTAGTGTTGAACTCTCTTTGCCTACATTAAAAGTCTTCCAGGGTACAAAATATTGTGTGTATGTGGCTTCATGTTCTATGACTTACCTCTGTGTTTCTTCTGAGGTAAGCTAGCTGCCATCTCTTCATTCTACATATCAAAATCCTGGCCTAGATTCTTTACTTTAACAAATCTAATATTAACTTGGGTGCAAGTAGACTTTTCATCCTATTGTATAATCTTAAACTTGTTTGATGTCAGTGTGCTTATGGTGACTTACTGTATTGTTAGCATGTATCCATTAACCTTGGTGGTATGTTTTCTAGTTGGAGGAAGACGTCAACCTTGCACCCCAGACAGGTGAAGGCGGTTTCCAGTTCGATCCCAACACAAGTATACCTAGTGAAGGTTTCAAGTTTTAAATAACGCAACAGTCCTGTAATGATCGACATAATCGCTTTTGAATTTTAAGCTACTTTTGTAAATGACCCTACTCGATATTAGAAAGCGGTGTATATTTCTCGGCCATATTTTTTGTTATTTGAAATTGTTGTACATGAACGATTTAAGTCACAATCCCAAGGGTGCAAAACTCATACATAATTTCTCGAGTACTGTGATTTGTCTTTGTAATAAATATCATCATATTGATTTTATCGGCATAGACACATGTGAATAACCTGTTACCTCGACTGAGGTATAACAATAAAATAGATACTGATAAATTTATTTATACTTTTATTTTATGCACGGACCCTGTTTTTATTTTGGGGATTATCATCCTTTATGAAACATAATGTAATAAAGGTATGTTTCATTTAATATAAGGAGTTTAAAATTTTTCTTCCTTCAAGCCCTTGCCACAGATTATGGGAGTAAAGGTTTATGGCAGATGGTAAATTTGTACTACGGACATGTAGTTCCCTTTCCTCTTTAACTTGAAACTTATCTTAATCCCTCATCTATATCCTCCTTGAAATTGAATTGCTGTCCAAAACCCCTAATTATTAATGCTAAAGAAGTGAAACCAACTTCCAGCCTTTGAATAAAGCATAAGAATTAACCTTTTATAGAGAGATATCTAATAAAACTATGGGTAGGCGGTAGGCTTAATAAGAAATGAACTTAAATTCTTATGTTTATTCAGAAACATGAACACATTGGAGTATTTTCTTGCTTGAGCAGATGATGAAAAATGACTGAAGAAGAGCTCTTAAAAACCTAATATGGTACAAAAGTGTTGATTAAAGTAGAAATCATATGATAGACATCTTAGTGCACTATCAGCAGAAAAAAGATGCTGAAAAACAGTTTGTAAGCTTTGAATATTAATTTTGTAAGTTATTACAAGACTATAAATAAATAAAATAAGACTAAGAATCTTGAAAACCTGTAATACATGGGAACTCGTAAAAATCAAAATGTTGCAGTTAGAGCAAAATAACTCGTCTTTTCAGACTTTCTCTTTTTCTTTTTTAAATCACATAGTGGAAAAGTATTACAAAAATACTTAAAAAAACACTAAGCTCAGTTATTCGGAGACGGGTGTAGGTGTGGTTTTGTCTTGAGGACGAGAGCATTGACAGAACTCAGATTGCAGTAGTCGCTCTGTCTGGCCTGTGCGAAGTTTGACTGTCGTCTGCGGAGGGAAGTTGACTACAAGCCGCAGAGCTCCGTGCTTCAACACTACGCTGTGTGTCTCCACCATTGGGAACCTGCCAATGGGACAGTTGGAACATCAACACTGAACTGTCATTTTATACACGATTATCTAGAATTCCACCCAGCTTTAGTAAACAGTCTTGGCTAAAGAAATAGACAATCATGGTCAATAAGCTATACAGGTCATTGAACTATTTTACACACACCCACTTTACTCCCTTTATACAGGTAAAATATATATGCACTCTAGAGCGCTATCTCAAAGAATGGATTGGAGGGACTTAGTTAAATAAATCTTCCTATAATTTTTTTTTATGTATATTTATCATGTGTTGTACAGTAGAACCTCTTTAATCCGAATCATGTAATCCGAACGCATCATTGCTGTACTCTATACACAGTACAGTAGTTATTTATTGTATACTGTATTTATTGATAAACGCACCATAATTATTTCAATTGTAATGTACAGTACTGTTTATTTCCTATGTTTACTATTGTATTAAATAAACACTGCATTTTACTTTATTAAGCATTTTTCACTTTTCCCTAGCTATTGTTATGTATAAACAACAATATGTTCTGTAATCCGAACTACCCCCAGTCCCAATTAGTTCGGATCAAAGAGGTTCTACTGTAATAATGAAATGTTAAGTTTGTGTTTAAAAAGGTTATTCAGCAGTCCACCACTAAATGTGTTACTTAATTGCAGTAAAAATTATGACTGCCAAAAATTATAAATTTAAATTTATCACATTTTCTTAGCTCAACAAAATAAGGAAATGTTAAAACTAATATTAGTATCAGCTAATTTGCATGTCATTGATTGATTTTCAGTTTTTTACCTTACTGAAAAGGTGTTTCTAAAGTAAATATGGTGATTCACCTCTGACTGGTCGTTTGTCCAGTGCTTGGCCGAGATAATTCTGTGGTACTTGGTGAACTCTTTGGAGTTGTATTAAGCTTGGCTAGTGACTCACTTGAAGATTTCTTTGTACTTGCCTTAGTATGCTGTAAAAAATATCAATCTGTTGTAAAAATGTAACAGTTTTTCAAAATCTGACACAATAATGACTTTTTGTGAAGGGAGGTCAACTCAAGCGCCTCTTAAAATTTGTTGATAATTTAACTTTTAAACCACTACGGTAATTTGTACTAGGTGTATTCTTATGGTTATTGGAAATGAAAATTATAACTTTATAACCAAAACGCTGCACACTTGATTCTAAGTATCATGAAAATAGCTTTATTTACAAGTTTTAAACAACAATATAAAAATGTTCTAGCCACGTTTTCTTGTTATTTAACTAGTCAGTAACTTACGGTAGAGTCTAAATCTTCCATGAAGGATGAGCTTCTTCGAGACAACCTTTTCTTCGGTGCCTCCCATGGTACTCTATCTTCTGGGATGTGTATCTGAAAATGAAACACGTTAAGACTCAAAATTAAATTTTAGGGGCTAAAATTATTCTTTTTACACAAGCTCAATGGAAAAAAGCGAGAGTCAAAGTTAAAAGGCTTTTTAAACGTGTGATGAACTATATTTTATGTCATTCTGCACAGTTATTTATCAAAATTCTTAATATTGTTAATGATATAATTAGAATAGATCGCTTTCAGTTGAAAAAATCATTTAATATTAATATTACCTGAGCTGGCAGATGACTAGGGTTGCAGCCCAGGCATTTTTCTTTTCTTGTCTGAAGACTTCTTATAGCCTCCTCCAAATCCTGCCTCTGCTGTTCCTTATGATCTTTTACGTGATATATTCCTACTCGATGGAGGAAACTTGGAAAAAACCATAATTTTTAAGTATAGCTTTTCTGTACTATAACATATGGGGTGGAATTGGTAGAACATGTGCTTTAGTTCAAAACTGTACATTTCATCCAATACAACCATCCATACAAACTAGAAAATGGCATTACTATCATTTTTGTTTCGTGTAAAGGCTTATTGCAGACATTTTCATTCCTGAACAATAAAATGAACAACGTGTTCTACATTCTTTCCTATCTAAAGATAGGAAGAATGTAGAATATCCTGAAACGTTGGAAATCTTATGATAAATTACAGGACTTAAGATAATATGTTTTAGTTAATCTTATTATTGTAAACTGAATGATATTTTATATCATTTTGACGTAAACCAATACATGTAAATACGCCTATTCATGGTTCAAGAAACGAGTTATTGAATTACTTATCAGTGAAGGGAAATTTCTGTGATTTTTAGTCAATAACTTGGACCAATTACCATTCTTTAAACTAGCCTTTCATTTAAATTCAATTTTTAGGATACAAAAGTTTCACTTGATTGCATTGTGTACTTGTTTAACAGCAAATTACCTCTCACATTCTTTCCAAAACCTAAAGTGAATTAAACTATTTGCTAACCAACAGTTGCAGGAAGTTTTATTTCAGAATGAAAATTCTATGTAAAGTAATTCTGAAAACCTTAAATCAAAATATTTACTTTGGAGGAGCCTCGACCCAGTAGTTGTCAAGACGGTTTGTCTTCATGATTCCGCTCAGGTGTTGCAGGAGAGTAAAGTTGTCTTGGTGGATTCGTTCACATCTCTCCGCTTCCTTTACAAACACTTTAATTATTACTATACTTTGTTCAAAATATTCAGGCGGTTTTAGGGAAAGAAATCTTGACCCTTACCGTTTTAAATTAATAGCTCAAAAGCTGATTAAGCAACATATATTAAGTACAAAAAAGTGGTGGGGGAACATTCCCAAAACCATCTAAATATTGTGAACAGAGTATAACTGGATGAGACATCACCGCAAACATTCATCCTAGTGGTTTTGAAGGGTTGTCTTTGATTTTTTTAATATAGACACTATTTTAAAGTTTCAGAATGGATTAAAATATTGTATAGTAAGTAACATCATGTTGAATAGAAAAACATTTGAGGGATTATAGTCTAAATGCTACTTTTTTGTGAACCAGTATTTGTACATGGGAAAAAGCTACTGGGAGTCATATTAGACCCCTCTCCCTTCCATAGCTATAAACTATTTCCTACTGTTTATAAACAATATATATTTAATTAATACATATGGTGGTTCCAAGTTTATTGTGTACATATTAGCTTATAGGCTGTTGGTTATAACATAAAAATTGTGTAACAAACTTGTCAAAGATTAATAAATCAATACACAACTAACTTACACAAGAAGAGTTCCAGGAAGTCAACAGCTCATGTAAAATCCACAAAACATGTTTTGATTTAGTAAGTTTTTTGTGGTTCCATTCCTTTTTACTTTCTCCCCCTATAACCATAGTACCTATATGGCTTTGACCAATAGTCATGGAGAAAGTATTGTTTTTTTCAAAATTTTCAAGTTTGAGTTTTGAGTGTATATCCGTTTTGGGCCCCCTGGACCCAAAAAAGTGGTTTTCAAAGTGATGTGTGGATGTGTACAGAGCTACAGACCACACCTGTGGTCCGATTTTTATGAAATTTTGTATGTAGGTTCTAATCCATGGTATCTCCGGGTGTTTTTTTTTCAATTTTGATTTTTAATGGTGATTTTTCCATAAAAGCCCATAAAATAACAGAAAATTCAGGTTTTCTCAAAAATGGCTCGAATGATTTTGATGAAACTTAAGTATGTTATAGCATAGATTAAACATACTCCCTTAGGGTACTCCCTGAGGGAATATGTTTAATCTATGGTTATAGCCATTTAGACTCTGAACAAAATGGTATAATTCCCATTGATGTAAAAATTACGGTTCCAAAGTTATTGTAACTTATGTTATTTTCCCATTAAAACCCCATAAAGTAACGGAAAATCAAATTTTTGAAAAAAGTGCCGGTTTTGATTAAAATTAGTATGTTATGGTCATTATAGTTCTAAACGGTATAATGCAACCCACCATTGGTGTAAAATTTAGGGTTTAAAAGTTATTGTGACTTTTGGGATTTTTCCTATAAAATATCATAGGTAACGCCTACCCATGATAAATGTTGATGACAAGCTACTGGGAGAAAGTATGTGTCAGATTGCTGATACCGTTTATTCCCTTAATACTAAGCCCCACTCTCTTTCCTCCAAAAAATAACAAATATATTGTAGTATTTAACCTTGTACAGGGAGGGGAGAGTGTTTACCTTTTGAAGCTTTTTAAGTTTGCAGGTGACATGATGTC